CTTGTTAAACCTCATACAACTGGCCTCAGCCAATGTCCAGATCCCTCTGAAGAGCCTTCATACCCTCGAGCAGATCAACACTCCCATCCAATGTAGTGTCATCTGCACACTTACCTGGGGGAGCACTTGATTCCCTCATCCAGATCGTTGATAAAGATCTTCAATAGGACTGGGCCTAATACCGAGCCCTGGGGAACACCACTTGTGACCAGCCACCAACTGGATTGAACTCCATTTACCACAACTCTTGGAGCCCAGCCATCCAACCACGTTTTTTTCTCACCAAAGAGTATGCCTGTCCAAGCCATGATGAAGCAGTTTCTCAGGAAGAATGCTTGCTTCCATGGGAAGGATTTTTCTTGAAGTCACATCTGCCTTAGGAAGCGGGAAAGAGGTGGCGTGAAAATGAGGGACACTGTGCAATTTTATAGCTCTACTCTTCCTAGACTGTGGAGGTGGAAGTAAAGAAAGAGTTAAAATGAAAACTTGAGCTAAAACGATTGTAGTTGACATGTTTCAGAAAAACCAGTGTAAAGAGCACTGGCAGCGCACTTCTGTTCAGAGTTGTTCTAGGTTATATTAAATGACTTTTCTTCAGTTGCTTTCTAAGCTAAAAAATGAAAAAGCTGTGTGACAGGCCTTTTCCTGGCTGAGCTGAGGAAGTAACAAAGGAGGAACACGTCGTATATTTTTTTTTTTTTCTCTCTCCTGGCTTGTATCAGTTTAAGAGTCTTGATCAAACAGAAACAATTTTTCCTTTGTCCAGGATGACCCACAGAGTTTCTTTCCTGCTTCTCCGTACCATTTTCAGGAAGGGAGCACTGCTTAGTGTGAATAAGAGCCACAAGTCTTGCTTTTCTAGTTACAGAACTGTTTTGCTGGAAAAGGTAACCCACGCTACCTGGGAATGTTAATGTCAGGCAAGGAACAATGTCTTCTGGAGTGCTCCATTTGTGTGGGCATGTGTCTGTACAATTGTGTTACTGCTGATACCGATGGTCGCTTAGCAAGAAGGTATCACCAGAGCGCTCACTGTGTGACCAGAGTGAATATGTCTACGTAAAGAATAGTCTAAAATTGTGGGTTTATGTCTGATTTGTGTTTCCAATAGTCGTGGAAGTCTGAGGCATCTATCCAAATTCTTGTCCCAAATCCTTAGTTTTTATTTAAACCTGTTTCACCAGTATTTTTTTTCTTTCCAGATGAGTTCCATATCTTTAATGTGGTATGGGCTTTTTAATACAACCCTGTTGGGAAGGATCTTTACATAATAAACCCCCTTACTTCTGTGCCTTGCAGATAGCTGTAAGTACTGAAGTAACAGTTCCTGAAAGAGCTAGTTGGGTGTCTAATCATGTTTCAGAGTCACTAGATCAGATTCAGTCAGGTAGAGGTCTTTGAAATTTCTGTTGCTTCTGTTAAAGTTATCTAATTTTAAAACCTGAGACAGCTACATGAGTAGTAACTGCGTGTCAGTGGAAGCTTGGAGTAAAATGCCCAATACGTGCCTAAAAATCTTTAATAGGACTTCTATATATTTCCGGTTAAGACAATCAGCTTAGTGGTAACTGAAAGTTAGGATGAATGGAGGCAACTGCTCAAAGACAAAATATCTTACAGTAGCTGTGTTTTAAGAGTTTCCTATTCTCTAAAAATCCCATGATGTCTAGGATACAGATTCGTAAAAGAGTTAAGGGCCAGATAAGCTTAAATTTTTCTTTCCTCATTTAGTGAAGTGTATGTGTGCAACACCAAACAAGAATTTCGGTCAGATCTTACTAAGGAAGAGAGCATCTGCATGGGCTTGGAGTCTATGTGGATGTAAAGAGACCAGGAGAGGAGGTGAAAAGGTTCTTCCACCTTTTCTTAACTGACTCTGATTTCCTTATCATGTTGGTATTGCTGTTTTTCAATTTGTCTTACTTTGTTTCTGTGCATCCTCTGAAGGGATCAGTTCGTTAACTGCTGTGGCACATCAATATTTACATTGAAAATATCACTGCTATCCTTTCTTTACAGACGCTGGGATTTTTTTTTAAGGATGCTATCAAGAAGTTTATTGTGACTCAGTGTATTCTGTTGCCAGTGACGTCCCTTCTGCTTTACATTATTAAAATAGGGGGAGACTACTTCTTCATCTATGCCTGGCTCTTCACATTAGTTGTTTCCTTGGTGAGTATGAGAATATGTTTGGGTTTCTTCCAAATGCTAGCTTACTTGCATGGCTCAGTGTGCTGAGGTTTAAAAACATAACTGAAAGGAAATGGAGAAAAATCTAAGTCTCCTGGGAATTTTAGTGTCTACAGACTTTACCAGTGTGTCTTTCTCTCAGTGCACTTGTTCAGGAATAGTAGCTCATATTAATTGTCCACATTAATGTGATATATTTTATCTATTTAATACTGTGTCTTCATCAATTGGAAAATAAACATTCAAAAAGCTTTAGAATAGATACTGGAAAATACAGCACTGTGGTGATAGGTTTTCCTTTTCCTTAAATATAGAAAGGTCACAAGGACAACTGCCAGCAGTTTGGCAAGACAAGGCAGAATGTGCTTTGGTCAGTGATGTTTCCATTGGGCTTTTCTTACCAGTTCTCAATTGCATTGCTTTGTATGGCGATGAGTAGCAATTTTCCATTTCTGGTTCTGCTTTTATAGCTGCGAATTGGTAACTGACATTTTTAGGGCTTGGATTAAAAGGATCTTTTTGTATGCATCATAAGAATTTGATGTTTTCTATTCTTACTATGAGCTCTGAAGTCTGCGTTTCTTTTTCTGTTTCAACATAGTGCTCTGCTGTCTCTTTGCTCGATACACTAACCATTGCTCACCCAAGGAAGAAATTACAGAAGTATATTAATTTATTTTAAGGTTAAAAGAGCACCCTAACAAGTAAAAGAATTATTACATTACAGTAATGTAATAAAGCCTGCCATGTTGGCTTAACAATAAATTTGGGTCAGTCAGTCCCTGATTCTCTTGTCATGTTCAGACTTTCTGATTGGAGTGCATCATCAAGAAAATTTTTAGGAATACCTGGGTAGGAAATCATTGTTTTCTTTATTAAGCTTCTCTTTCATGACTTAAGTGTTGCTTTTTATTTTTTTCTTTTCCTTCTCCCCACTGCTTCTAGATTCAGATCACTTTTATAGCTTTCGTGGACTTTCAGTTTGTCAGCTTCATTTCTAAAGCACAGCATTGGCTGGCCACACTTATACAAAAATGTGATCGTGCTACATGGGAGGCCATTGCAGTTAATGCAGGAAAATCTGATTTCCCGTATCGTATATCCAATAGGTGCATTGACTTTCTCAGGCATGGCGACATGGAAGGAAGTGTGGGTCAGTTTAAATCATGACTGCAAAGTCTTTTCATAATCCTGTTTTTATGGGATAGAGATCTTATTATCTGAATTGTATTTGTTGCTTATTTGTGTTTTTGCTTCATTGATGCCTAACATGCAACTGAAGTACAACCTGTGTGGATTAGTGGATTTCTATATGGCCACTAATTCTGGCATAGTGCAGTTACCAGTGATGTGTTTCTGAGGAACTCAATGACAATAGTATAGTGGCAGAAGTGTTCCACTTAGGTGGTAAGTCTAGCTTCCAATTACTACATTGAGTTCTTTCAAGCTTTTGTTTGTTTGTTTGTTGGCTTAATTATGCAGTGCTTCCTGTTGTTTTGTTGTGCTGGCTTCTGCTTTCTGTAGTCCAGGTGTCCTTATGCTCTGACATCTTCCTTTTTTTGTCTCTGAATGTATTCTGAAAGATCACAGTGTTAGGTCTCAAAAATGTCAGTTCACATGTATTGAAATGACTTACAGAAAATTTGTGCAGACTCTGATCAGTACTTCTTAAAGAATTGTTCTTTTTCTTTCTGAGCTTTGATTAGCAATATACTCTTAAATCATAGTTCAGCATTTTGACCTACTGCTCTGCCAGCCTGAGTAAAACAGTCCGTACTTAGAGATTATTCTAGTGTAGCCTTATTATTTGCAGATTTGCAGAGATGATTAATAGAATCACAGGATGGTTTGGGTTGGAAGGGACCTTAAACACCATCCAGTTCCAACCCCCTGCCACGGGCAGGGACACCTCCCACCAGACCAGGTCGCTCCCAGCCCCATCCAGCCTGGCCTTGA